TGCTTTCTTACTAGATGCTTGTGTTATCATCTCTAAGTTTATAGATTATGGTGTTTGTTTATTTCTTTGTAATGCCAGTTGTTTTTAAAAATAACAAGGTGACTAAAAAATGAAGAGAATTAGATGGTGGAGATTCTCATCTGTAGTAGATGTGGAAATTGTTTTCTGAAATGTGTCAGTGCTTCACGCTCTTTGCTTTCTTCGGCTTGTCTTCCGTTATGTTGGTCTCTGAATGATTAGCCTATAATTCTTGCCTTTATTGGCAGGGTCCAGAAAGAAGATAATCCTGCTAGAGCGCTGTTGGAAAACAGGAGCACTAGCTCATTTCTATAGCATGTTTTTGTATGTTAAGGACCAAAGCACAAATGTCACTCTGTGTGTAAACGGCAGTACCCAGTAGGCCTCTGTGGCAAAGGTTGGCTCGTTATATTACTGTTCATTTTGGAATTTTGGATTGGCACCAGAAGAGTTACTCTTGTGGCTAGTGTACGCTCTTCAAGAATTGTGTGGCTGTTCCTGGGAAATAGGCACTTTTCTTCCTTTCGTTGAACTAAAAGGCCTATCTATCGGAGATTCTTTGCTTAACTGCATTTCAGATAATTTTTAACAATTAGTGCTTTTTATATTTACAATGAAATATGTATAAAGTATTGATAAATTGAGTTAAAAATTAAATTCCCAGGGTATGAAATATGAGTAAAAAAATGAACTTCAAATACTTTTCAAAAGCATCAAAACTAGGCCTAAAAGAATCTTTAAATAAATGTCAACACCAAAAGGCTAATATTCTGAAGTAATAAATCATACAGACAGATGCGGTGGCACCATGCTGGGCCACTGTAATTTGGCAATTTATGAATAATTTTACTATTATTTTGCTGTTCCTCTTTGCTTATATGCAAACTTTCCTAGCCACTCATTCTGACAGCCTCCCTCAGTCAGGGCAGCAGTTAAGTTATGCTTTAGTATAGGTTATTTCTATCCTTATCTGTGGCTTTAATCTGTGGTTCTGTAATCACATACAACTTTAATTCTGAAATCAGTAAAACAGTATGAGAAGCTGACATTAAACATTAACAATAAATATTTTATACGTATAGGTCCTTCGGCCATAAAAAGCATCTGTTTAAAGTCACTAAATGCGTTCATTCAAACTAATATATCCAATAGGTGCATTTATTAAATTATAAATAGCTATAAATGCTTTTTATGTACAAAATACAAATTTTTGGCAGTATGCTACTTTGGAATGCATCTATAATAATGTATTTTATTCTTTAATCAGAAGACTTGCTTCACCAAAACTTTATATAGAGATTTATTGAAAGTATTGGGAAACTTATTAAATGTAATTCTTCTTTCTTTTGAATTTTGATAAAAGAACTATCTTTTTTTAAAAATATGTAAAATAATTTTACTATCAGAAACTGCAATAGAAGTATTTTTTATAAAATACTTGAAGTCTGAAAGCTGACAGTAATTATATATCTTGCTTGTTCATTGCACACACATACTTATTTTCATTGAAATGGAAAATTTAAATTTAGATTGTGACTGTCCAAATTACCTTTATCAGCAAAATAGCCTTACTCATGATTACTTACAAAGTAGGAGGAATTAGCTTTTTTAGTCAATGCATCTTCTATTCCAGACTTGCATCAATTGTATATAATGCACAGAGTTTAGCAGTCTATTTTTCAACTTGTTTAGACTAGAAAGCAACTTCCAAGAAATTCATTATGCCTGTTAACAACTGTAGTTGAAATATCACAACTGGCACAATGTATTGTTCTTCATTACTTACTTTCCATGGCTGCAAGGAACCAAATGAAATTTGTTTCTGCTGTGTGAAGAACAAAAATGTTTGTGAGTTACTAACTTCAGTTAGAAGTAAAACTGACTTCTTTGCATCCTGCTTGATGTAGTGGGTTATCTAATTATAATAGTCTGCAATATAGGTATCTAAATGTGACATTTAAAAAATAAATTTAACATAGTATCTCACTTCAGCATGTTTAACTTGCAGCTAAATTTGCCTAGAGCGAAGGCAGGCACACGGTAATAATTCTGTACTCTTCCTGAATAACTAACTGAGTAATGGTGCACTGGGTGAAGAACTGGCTGAAGGTCAGGGCTCAAAGGGTTGCGGTGAATGGGGCGACATCTGACTGGTGACCAGACACCAGTGGTGTTCCTCTGGGTTCAGCTCTAGGGCCAGTCCTGTTCAATATTTTTATCAGTGATCTGGATGGAGGAGTGGAATGCACCATCAGCAGGTTTGTTGATGATACCAAACTGGGAGGTGCTGTTGAGTCTCTTGAGGGACAAGAGGCCTTGCAGAGGGATCTGAATAGATTGGAGCATTGGGCAATCATCAATGATCTATTTAACATTTGAAAATTCAACAAGTCAAAACGCTGGATTCTGCATCTGGGATGGAGTAACGCCATGCACAAGTGTCAGCTGGGAGAGGAGAGGATGGAGAGTATCACTACAGAAAGGGATCTGGGGATGCTGGTTGACAGCAGTCTCAATGCGAGTCAGCAGCGTGCCTGGCAGGCAAGGGGGCAACCCGCATCCTGGGGAGCATCACACACAGCACAACCAGCCGGCCAAAAGAGGCGATTATCCCACTCTATTCAGTGTTGGTGCAGCCTCACCTTGAATACTGTGTGCAGTTCTGGGCCCCACAATTTAAGAGGGTTATTGAGGTCCTTGAATGCATTCAGAGGAAGGCAACAAAGCTGGTGAAAGGGCTGGAAGGCATGGCCTATGAGGAGCAGACAAGAACTTTGGGGTTGTCTAGTTTGGAGAAAATGAGGCTGACGGGCCACCTCATTGCTCACTACAGCTTCCTGAAGAGGGGACATGGGGAGGGAGGTGCTGATCTCTTCTCCCTGGGATCCAGTGACAGGATGCATGGGAATGGTTCAAAGCTGCACCAGGGGAGGTTTAGACTGGACATGAGGAAGCATTTCTTTACTGAGAGGGTGGTCAAACCCTGGAACAGGCTTCCTAGAGAAGTGGCTGATGCCCCAAGCCTGTCAGTGTTTAAGAGGCATTTGGACAATGCCCTTAACAACGTGCTTCAACTTTTGGTCAGCCCTGAATGGGTCAGGCGGTTGGACTAGATGATTGCTGTGGGTCCTTTCCAACCAAACTGTTCTGTTCTAACCTAACTGTTTAGAAGTTAGAGGCATGCAAGGCTTCTCCAGGACTTGGTGAGATCACTTAAAAGAGCACAAGATCATTACCTCTTCACCCTTCTTCTCTACCTTTTCATATCCCATAGTAGCAGTTCAGTCTATTGTACAGCAGAAGTATCTAATTAGCTGGTTAGTGTTATATATAGAAATAAAATGAATCATTTAAAGATTCACATGTCTTTATATATAGCTATGACTTTAAAAAGTTCCCAGGAGAGGTAGCAGATAGTTTTAAGATGTGCATACATTTTTATTTTTTTATATTTATATTACAGAAGGATATGACTTTAGGAACATAGATACCAGGTCTGTTAGCCACAGATAGATAGAGACTGAGAAGTGCCATGGAGAAACACCAGTCCTTTGTACATTTCCATGGGTATTTGTTTTCAGAAGCCACTGGAGATGGAATGTTGAGATAGGTGAACCTTTGGTGTAACATGTTGTGACTGATCTTATGTTTTAAAAAAGCTCACTGTTGATAGTTTTTAAAATCTAAAAAAAAAAATAATCTACTTCTTGCTTCCGTATTGAAACAACTGTATCACATTGCCTGGCACTTTCATACAGCCACAAAGTACATCTTGAGTAAAAGAATTGTTTGAATAACTTCAATCTATATTATAATTTAGTATAATTTAACTTCTGCTACCTTAATCTTTAGGTAATGTTTCCTGTAGCAGTGCTTCTATATTCTTGGGATTATTTTTTTTGTTCATTTAGTATTTTAGTGCCTTTTTAGATCTTTCTGAGAAATGTGAAATTTGTAAGATCAGCATGTACTCATTGTTTTAGCTGATAATACACCTCTGTGAAGGTGGGTAAAGGATGATCTGGGGAGCAAAATCTCCCGAGCATGTGTGAAGACAGACAGTAGGAATGTCTTATTTAGTGTTTAACAAAGACTTCTTGTCATCAATTTATCCAAAATAAGAGATTAGCATTTTTGCAGTATTTGTCATTTATACCATGCCAATGTCATACTTGAGCCTGTTAGCTAAAACCTGTTAACAGAGTGTCTGTGATCCTTTCTGGAGGAAATTCTGCTAAATATATAAAAGCCATGTAGTAGATTAGTTCTATTAGCTCTAGCAATAACCCATGCAAGTGATTATCACAGCTTTCAAATAGTAAATGTGCTACAATAAACAGTGTGTGTATGAGTACTGCTTTAGAAACCGTTGATTTGTACTGGGTTTTATTTGTATTTATTTGTTATACTAAGAAATTATTGTGAAAAGCTGTGAATTACTTAAATTTGCTTACTGTATTTTCTACACCTTAATCTCCCTTTTTTTCTCTCAAGTGAGTGCAACCTTTACATGTACTTTTCTTATATTTCTTTGCCTTGTTAATTTAACATTGTCCTCTTTTTATTACCAACACTTTATTTTTGGGAACCCTGATGTTACTTGCAATTTTTTTTCTTGTAGTCTTGCCCCAAATAATTTGTAGCCTAAGAAATTAGTGAGGATATATGTATCTAATTATTTCACTTTATAACTTTGTATATTTTTTCAGTACATTGTAAAGCTCTGACCTTAATCTTTTCTTAAGACAGCACAACTGAAAGCAGTTGTTTAAGCCACCTAGAGGCAGAAAAATAAATCCAACATAATGTTTAACTAGTCTTTTCTATTTTGGGGATTTTCATTCAGTTGTAGGAGTTTATGTGCACCACCACATTTTATTTGCTTGGGATGGGAGGAGTATTTTATTTTTTTCAAACAGTGCATCTGATACTTAAGGACTTCAGAAAAGTTGCAGTAAAATGTCTGTTTATTCTGTCTTCAGAACAAGTTCATAGGCATTTGGATCAGCATGAGGTGAAATACTTGCAATTTGCTTTCCGTTGGATGAATAACTTGCTGATGAGAGAAGTCCCTTTACGGTGTACCATCAGGTTATGGGACACATACCAAGTAAGTACCTTTTTAAACTTCCATAACTCGGATAGTGTTTTGGACATGCCAGTATATTTGCGTGTGTTTTTTCTTGAACCTTTTGCTTTAGTGTCACCTGAAAATCGTCATAATAAGAGAAAAAGCCTTCAGTGATCATTACCACTTAGAAACTTCTAATGTCTTCCGTCTTCTTGCCCTTCAAAACCAAGCACTTGATGTCGTGATAATTTATAGTAGTAAAATGAATGCTCACTCAAAGCATGGGTTAGTGTCAATTCTCCCTTCTGTCTCTTCAGAGAAGCAAAACATTGAATTATGCTTAATCAATGCCCTCCATCGATTCCAAGTTCCAGGCTTCTTACTGCCTGTCTGCTTAACTACTCAATCCAATACTAACTTCCAGTCTCCACTTCTCAGCATTCATCCTTCTGTCATGTCTTCTGTCTTTATGGTTTGTGCAGAAAAAAACTCCTTATATTACTGACCTTTAATTAAGGTAATTATTTTTCCTCGATAATTTCTTGCCTGACTGTCAAGTGAAGGAATTCATGTTGGAGAAAAACTGGTTACCTCTCCTTAGTTCAGTTACTTGATTTTCCAGTAGCTTCAGGTTGCAGTTTTTAACTATGTATTTAAACAATATACTCTTATCTACTGTCTTTGTTGTTGAAGTTAATGGAAAACAAACAGGAAAAAAAAAAATCAAATTCCATAAGAATTTTCAACTGAATTAGCTTAGTAAATACAGGAATACCGGAATGTCCACTTAGACCATCTATTTGTACCTCTAACAGAGGGTTGAGAATTCCTTGCTATTCATTTAATGAGTCCAGTAAGTTGTTTCAGTGAAGTGTGTTTTGTAGAATGATATCCCAATCTGATAAGAAAATGTTAAGAAATGTGGGATCTATCACTTTTACTGTTAATCTGTCCTAAGAGATGGTATCCTTGCAGGTTTTATTTGGTTCTTTATCTTCAACAAATTTCTGAATTGAATTTGGCTATTGCTTTCATCTGGGGTCCTTTTTACCCCCTTCGTCTCACTATAACATCTGTTGCTCATTTTAATATCTGTTATTACCTGGCATTTTCTTCCAGTGGAAAATATTTATTCTTTTTAAGATCTTTCTGATAAACTGAAAGATTGAGCTATTTAAATGTTTGACTGTAGCTGTGATTTCTCTCATTTTGAATGATTTTTGTTGCTGTTGCTGCAGCATTTCTAACTCCTGAAGGCTTTTTTACCACACTAACTCTAGCGCTGCATTTGGTATTTGATGATTAGTCTCATCAATGTGCTAAAATGATGTAAAAGCTCTTCCTTAATCCAGCTAACCACCCATATGTGCCCGAGGAATAGCAGTTTTTGCCAAAACTTCACTTGGAGCTCATCTGTAAGCTATGATTCTAGGATAATATTGAGAAATTCCTTTTGAAGACCAAGCGTGTGGCTATTTCTCAAACTAACTGTTGCCATGCTGAAAGGACGGTATTTCTCATCGCTAGTCCATAGACACCTGTCAGGTTACACTCCAGTGGGATCGTTATAAGCAGTTCTGACTGTTTAATTCCAGGCATGGATAGATGCTTAACTGCTTTTCTCACTGTACTCAAAGGCTGATGATGGTGTTACCAGGCTTGCTTTTGCTACCTCATGCCCTAAAGCAACAAAGTAAGAAAACATGGTTTTTTTCCTTAGATTTCCACACCTAGGCCTTCTGTTGTTTTAGTGGCTACTCAGTATGTGCATGTACTGACATTTTCCCCCCGATATTCTCAAACTGCTGTAAACAGAAATGCCTGTAACTGCAGTATGAGTTCAGAGGGAAGGTGAACTAATCGTGTTGCAATGTAATATTAGCCACAGCAGGGACTACAGGCATCCCAATGCTGCTGCTGCTGTGAGGGGTTTTACTCAAACTCTACCTACCTTACAGCTCTCAGGAAGGGATGGGGCATTTTGCAAGGCACTGTTTACAGGCACCTCTAGTCCCAGCGCGTGGCATGATTTGGGAACAGCATAGGAGCAGTGCCAGAGGAGGGTCGGGATAGGTGGGACAGTCGGATAACTTCATGTGGAAGGAATGGGAAGACAGGTGGGACTGCCAGATTCCTTCATGTCTGCACTGGGAGTGTGTTCTGGCTCCCCCGTTGCCTTCAGAAAGCTAGGGGGGTGGTGGATGGCCTCCCTCCCCTCCCAGGGACTAGAGAACAGTGGCCTCTCTTGAAGGAGGGGATCCTGATGATGATGTTTTCACAGAAAAAAACCAAAACAAACAAAAAACGTTTTGTCTCCTTTGTCTTCCCATCTCCCCGTCAAAGCTGAAATAACGCCTTGTCTCACTGAGCTGCACCTTTTCCTCTGTTTGCAGTGGAAAGATAAATACTGTGCTGTCTCCAGCTTAACTTCCACATTGGTCATTCTCAGAGCAGGCCCCATTTTCTCATGAACTGCAACAGGGCTTTTCAGGGTATGACAGCACGGCTTTAAATAGTCTGCTGTTACGTATTTTGATAGATGCCTGTTGTTGTCTGGAATTGTTAGAACCGCATTCTGTCTCAAAATTTGTTGCAGTTCTTCCATTGGGTTCGATGAGAATAGGATTGGACGCTTAAATGACGTCCATCTCTGTCTCAGTATGCATGGTAGCAAAAGTACTCTACCTGGTGTCATATTTTCTGTCTAGTTTAATTTAGGATTCATCAGTCATTTGTTAGGCTCTGAAGTAAATAATTGGGCATATAATCCAAAATACCTGTACCTGAGCTAGTTAAAGTTGAGGGGAAGGGAAATTTGGAAAGGTTCACAAATCCTCACTTTAGTAAATGCTCTGGTATTCTGTCACTGTATCTGTGAAATCCACTAAAATATATCACTGTCTTCTGTAGCAGAACTTTGTAAAGTAGAAAATTAAAGACATTATGCATCTTGCTTACAAACGATATGTTGTGAGAGCTTCTTAGCCATAAATATTTAGTTTGGTTTATTTTTTAACCTGAATTGCATTTTAATGAGAGTGAATTATCCCACTTTTTCACTTGATTAGGGCTTTGCTATTGTTGTTGAGGTTTTTTTTTTTTTAAGGTAAATTCTGTAAGTACCTTGTAAACTCTTTCAAAATAGAAATTGCTTGTTAAGTTACGCCCAAGACACTCAAATTTTAAATTTGTAGAACTGATTAATATGAATGTTCATAGACTTTGTCAAGTGTGAAAGATTCCACAAACCAAAATAGTGTAACATAAGACCTCAGTTTTATCTTTTTATTCTTTCTTGCCTTTTAATCTTACATTTTGTCATCTTTTTTGGCATAAAGGATTGGTAAAATGAAATAGCGTGATGGCTGAATTATTCAGGATATGTAAGTGTTTAACATATTTCTATGGACTTATGAAATGCAAATCAGTTTTATATTTGTTCCTTGCCAGAGGGGCAATTTGACACTAATTTAAAGATTGCTTTGTGTATTTGAAACTGGCTTTTGTTGGCTTCTAACTTTGACTTAAAAGATTCCATGTATTTTATTAGAAATGGTGGGGATATCTTCACGCGCAGTGTCTGTGCTGTTGTACTCCAGATAAATATTTTAGATGTTTACCATCAAAACCTCAGAATGTATCCTTGCTTCAGTTTAAGATATTTTATTGAAGTTTGCATCAAGTTTTTATTTTGGTTTATTTTATTTCTTAAAATATGTGTTGTCCTTGAGGCACTTTTAAGATCCACTGTGTTTATGTAGCTGCGTACTTCTCTGCTGGGGGGAGGAAGCAATGCCATTACAGTGACACCACCCATTCTAAACTCTTCATCCTTGGCTAGAAATGGCAAGAGAGGTCTTGAACGTTCGTGGCTATATACCAATACTGAGGGCAGAACAGTGTTTAGTTTTGACTATCAGTATTTTTAAACTGCTTAAATATTTAGTTCAAAACTACATTTGATTTCTGGGCAGTTTGTAGCTGGAAGAAAGTCTTTAACAATGCCATCAAATCATCCTGATATAAGATAACACAGTGTTGTACTGACTGATGTTTTAAATAGAATAAGAATTTTTATTGGCATATAAGTACTTGGTTTTATTTACTTTCCCTGTAGAATGGAGTGCATGTATTTTTCATTACAGTGTTTTCCTTTTGATCTGATGTTCTTACATAAATTACCTTTTTGTGTGGTGATTTCTCTGTGGAAGTAACTCTGTAGTAGTACATAATTCGCAGAAGAGAGACCGACACAAGTTCCATAGCTAAAAACTTGCTCAGAGAAAAAAAAAAGAAAATGAAAAATGAAAAAAAAAAATATAGCAGCTATGTATATTAGTTTTCACTTTTCAATGGTGGCAAATGAACATTTAGAGTTCAAGTGTACAGCCTAGTATCTTCTCCTGCCAGGAGGCCTTTTTGTTTAGTACCACTTAGCTGACTGCTGTATTGCCAGCTCACCAGCAGGCACAGTCACATGCTCAGGCTCATGGATACACTGCAAACCAGGCAGGTGAGATACGTACAGTTTACAGTGCCCCAGTGTCCTACTTTACAGCTGTGAGGAAAACTTTGGTGTTACCAAGGCATCTTAAGGCTTATCATGGAAAAAAATGCAAATTAAAGCATATAATCCTGCCGTGTAAAATGCAAAACAGTTACAAAGATTTACAAAAGGTATAGGAAAAGAAAATCAGAACACTCATAGAATTTGACAATACTGGTGAGTTGATTTATTGTCTCACTGCTGAAATAGCTTTTTCTCCTAGTTCCTGTTACCCCCTGCTCCTTGGCAGTATCTGTTGGTTTTCTTCAGATTAGCCCAGTGAAGGGGCTGATGAATACCATAGTCACTGCAAGGGAGAGAGGATGAGAGAGCAGAGTTGTGATTTGAACCCTAGTGTTAAATCAGAATGATTGCATGTCCTTTCCAGCTTATTTGCTGTCTTTTGCTAAGAAGATTTTTTTTCTTGGTAGCTAGTACATTTCTCAGGTTGCATCCGTTAGACAAACTTCAATAGACAGTACCCATTGCTGGT